GGGCCAGGGTTTTTCCGGCCTTTTCTCCTATACTTGGAAACTTAAAGGAGTGTGGACATCCACTCCCAAAATCCCCAGGGGGGGGGGGGAATTGGGGGGGGTTGAAGTCCACAGATCTTCAAGTTGCCAAGGTTGAGAAGCACTGGCAGAAACACCTGGTGCCTACCCATGCCATATATTCTTCTGAATACGTTCTTCCTCTCTTTCTTTTTAATAAGCTAACTGTGCTGTTCTAGACGACGTTACCAACCCCATCTCCAAAACACTGCATTCCTTCTGAAGAACTAGCTTCAGCTGGGAATTTCCAGATGGGAACAGAGTCACCGTTGAAACTGGCAACTTAATAAAAGCGCCTCCCTCGATTCTGGAAAAGACCACGGACTTGACAGTACTTACATTATAGCTTTGTTCATTCTTATGCCCATCGCTGGGGTGACTTTGAAAAGGTTTTGGACTAAAGTATTAGCAGCATCATAATTCCGGCGAGTGTATACCAGCAACCAGTTATCCAGCGGCTTTACACTGATGAGGGGAGCTCCCCTTGTTTCTTTGGACCAGTCTGCAAGTTGTGGATTGTAGTCGAACTGAAAGGAAGCATTCTGAGCATCAACCAATCTGCCAAGTGTCCCTTCCAGTGCATTTTTGTCAAGAATAACCTGCTCTGATTTTTTGTTTTCACGTGCTGGATGTATGAAAAGTTTACCTACCACTTTCCCTCCCTGATGGATCTTTTCGGAGGGGATCACTCTCCCCGAAAAGGAAAGCAAATTGGGTTCAAAGCTGAGCCCCCAGTCTCGCAGCTCTTTCTGAACATTATCATCTCTGCAAAAAAACCAAAGCCGGTAGAGGGTTGTTTAGGGAAGTTACTCACAGGCTCCTGTTTACACCCACCATTTTCCATCTGATTCCCCCCCTTTCAGGATCTCAGGAAAACAAGCCAAAAAAGAAAAAAAAAAAGCTTCAGGAACATACTTATTAATGTAATCAATGAGCCGCCCAACTTCATGCATTCTTTGCTCTGGCGCGAGTCTCGTGTGAACAGCCAAATCCTTCATTACATTAAAATCGCTTCGCATCTTATCAGTCAGGCCTACAAAGAGGGTAAGGCGCAATGCCCAGAGGGGGGAAAATATAATAAAATCCATTTCTGTGACCAGCACTCAGACCCATCTCATTTATTATCCGATGGCTACACACATACAGGCAGAATTAAGATAAAAGTTAAAATGCCTCCCAACTTAGAGACCCCCTTCTTACATACCCAAGGCAACAGACGCCTGAGATATAATGATCATTTTGGCTATATACCCATCAGTTATACTAGTAAAAAGAAACGGCCTCATTTCCAAACAGCTACAGAAATACCCACTATTGGAGAAGAACGGCTATTTTCAAACGACCATACCTGTAAGATAGCAGAGTTCAGGGATGAGTACCGTCGGCCCTGCCAAGTCACCTCTTGGCCCCCTCTTCCTCTTTGGCTGACTAATCAAAACGGGCTGATTCAAGTCGGTGATTCCTTGGCCGTATTGCTGTTTTAAAATAGAGACGTTACTTGAGTCTGACCCACAGAACACAGAAAGAGGCTTCTGTTTGTACATCTTAACTACCTGGGCAGAAGCAACTTCATGCGACACGAATGCAATTTTTGTAAAGTCTAAGGAAAACTGTTTTGGGAAAGGAAGGTCAACTTTGTTTCTTTAATATCCAGTCCAGCAAGGTCCCTCTTCCCCTTTCTAGCAGCCCTTTGTAATTAGGCCACGTGGTAAGGATCTTTTTTGCAGGGGGAGCAACTACTTTTCACAGCAGTATTTTGTGGTCCAAGCCTAAGCTTTGCAATTAAATTGCAAGTTATACAACTGTACAGGAAGCATCTCCAAGAACGGGGAACCAAACAAATACGTTTGCAGGGCCATCAGACACACGGAATTCCTATCCCGAAAGTGGCCATTGTGAATCACAAATATCCATGTGCTGATCAATGCCAATTATTTATCAAAATCTAGTCTTATTGCTGCATTACTGATCTGGCTCACTTAAGGGGGGGGAGGGGCCTTTTCATTCCCACCCAAGCTTCAGCCCCCGTTTCGTACCATCTTGTAGTAGTCCACAAAGCTGATCTGAGTTCCATCTGCCTTTTTGAAGACATCTTGAGGGTTGGAATCCCAATCGATATCATCTACCCGGTATGTTTTATTGTTATACCTGGGCAAATGTTGAAATGCTTCATTAATCTTAATTTATGACTCTGCTGAACCACTCTTGACCATCCGTATGATGGACTTTGATGAATTATTTTACATCGTGAGAAAAGAGCCCGGGGGGGGGGGGTTGAGATGCAAGAAACATGCTAATTTTGGAGTGAAGGAAAAGACCACCCACTACAAGCCTCTCCACCGATCGACAACTGCTATATAAAAGACATAAACAAGGCCTAAAAAACATTCAACTCCACATTATCTTCATGTCCAAAGCATTTATATGTTCTGTCCAAACCTTAAACCACGCTCTGCATCAGCGTTACTTAAACCCTGTTCATAGGCCCTGATGGCACTAAATCTTAATTCAGAGAAGCAAAGGGAGCTGTACAACTTTTATTCCCCTTAAAAAAAAATCCTTTCTCAGATTGTAGGCCAGACACTAAACGTTTTAAGCTGATCACACTGTGCCAATGGGTCTTGCTTAAAAGTTAGGCACGCTGAGAAAATCGGTTCCAATCATAAAAGGAACAAACTTCTAAATGCCTACTTCGGTGTAGTCCCACCAAACCATCTGTCAGAAGGAACTCGAGCCCCACCAAGACAGGAACAAACAGCCCATTCTTTTAGAGAAGGATAAACACGTTTTCAGGATTCTGTCACTCTGTCTTTTGTGTACGTCTTAAGGGTAGAACAATTACGATGATTCTGTGGATAGTGATTACTGTATTGTACCTGAAATGATGGAAGTGTGCAAATGGAAGCTTGAACTCATTTAACGCAGCGGGGGCGTTCTTCCCCTAAGCCCGGACCAATAATACACCCAAATAAGCAGAGAAAGCACAAGGCTTTGACCGGCACCGTTAAAATCAACACGCTGTTAATGGATTTTACCGGGTAAGGACAATCAGGCCGATCAGCTCTTTCATGCAGATTTCCCGGAATCGCTGTTCTCCGACTTGTTCGTACATGGCGTACATAAAATCCAGAACAGTCTCGCTTCTGAGAACCTTGTGGGTCACATCTGTGCACAGCATGATGCTTGTCTCGTACTGCAGAATGGAAGTGGTAAAGCCGGGCCAAATCATCAGCCTGTCAGACAGAAGGCAGAGATTCACAGCAACCTCTCAACATCAACGGCCACCGGCTACTTTGAGCCTTGTTCCGAGCCAGCAGCTACCCCTTTGGCATCGTAAACGAGCGCTGCAACGATCTGCAACTCAAATACAGAAATCCATTCCAAGGTATCAGTTGGCTTCCAGAACCAATGTCCACTGTCCAGGCTTATCCCCCTAAAATTAATTATTTGAAGCTTGAGAAAGGAAAATCGGCTTACTCAGGTTTGTAATCCCAGATCTTTAAATACAAAAACGCTACAGGCATCGGAATAAATATCTGAGGCAGAAATGCACACTAATCTTTGCTGGGAGAGGCAGATTGTACAGGTAGTTCTTGACTTATGACTACAACAGAGACTGGAACTTCAGTCGCTAAGCGATGCGGTTACGCTGTGCCCAATTTTACAACCTTTTTTGTCATGTTTGTTAAGCGAATCTGGTTTCACCCATTGACTTTGCTTGTTGGAAGCCCTCTGGGAAGGTTGTAAATGGCAATCAGGGACGCTGCAACTGTCGTAAATACATGCTGGTTGCCAAGTATCCAAATTCTGATCACATACCGTGGGGACACTGTGAGATGTAAGTGCAAGGACTGGTCGTAAGTCACTTTTTTCAGTGCCGTCCTAACTTTGTGAGGTCATTAAACAAATGGTCATAAGTCAAGGACATGTATTCTAGAAGTTTCCCAAGAAAGGTTGTTTAGAAAAAATATTGCAGAAATGCACTCCTCTAGAAGTCTATTATGTTAATTGATGTACTGATGGTATTTATGTACTATCGCTCCACAAGGAAAAGAAAAAGTGAAAGATGCAATTCCCCACATACCCAAGTAAAAAGGCACTTTTGTTCCATGTAGGAAGGAGACTGATCTATGCTGATGCTGTATCAGAAACACATTTCCATCTGCAATCAAGGTTTGTTGCAGGGACAGCTTTCAAACCGACCTGCATCTTTCTTTGGGTTAAAATATATATCTATATTACACATATATATACAATAGGGTTAATACTGATACCTATTTGTAGGAGAAAGAAGGAAAAAAAGCAAGTCTGTACAACATAAAGTGTCAGAGTTTGGGGAACAACTGCTAGCAGGCACCAAACAATTGTTACAAACAGGCTTTGTTACCTGTGTTTAGGAATACTGATTGGGTCACTTGGGTTGTAGTAATTTCGTCCAATCTGCTGTAAATTCATTATTTTCAACAATCTGAAAAAGAGCAGAACTGGAAAGTAAGATTATACACAGGGCTCTTACTACACTACACAGCAGGGGGGGAAAATCCAAAAGATGATGGTTTTCTTCCCCTTCCACAAGACTTTTCTTAGTCCCTTTGGGGAAGAACATCATGAATTTGGGTAATTAGCATTATGATTTCTGTCTTCTTGAACAATGGGAGGCAATAAGTCACCTGGTGGGTGAGAAATCGCACCCAGCTTGAGCTCATCTACTTGCTCCACCAGCAAACACGATGCACATCATGAAGACTTTCCAATCAAACAGGATGTCAAAAGACAGTAACAGCAGAATCATTTGGGGAAAATGTGTCCAACTATAAGGTATACCTGTCTAGAACAACTCTAACAGAGCTCTTCCCTCCCCCTCAAAAAAGAGAAGAAAACCAATGTGTTTCCAGACCCTTCCTCATTTTAACAAATTCTACAAAGTAAGGAGCAACCGTCTGGTAGTTTAATCAGAAATTTAATGGATTGAATTTCTAATTCATTACTATTTTTTAAAAAAAGCCCTGGCTCTCTTACCCACAAAACCTAGCAATCTCAGCTCTCCAAAACCATCAAAGGTTCATATAACAAAGGCTAACCTTCTAAAAATAATGTTGTAAAACTGTAGGCAAGTTGGAGAAGTTGATGGAAGCTCGTTGGTTAAAGTGATGGTAATCTTCACAGTCTCTCCCTGCCGTGTCTGGCTTAACACCTCCGTCACCTAAGAAAATCACGGATAGTTACTTTTATGCGGGGTGAAGGGCCTCCAAGATGTGCCTTCAGAAGCCTTGAGAGAGCTGACTGGAGTAAAGAAATGGACAAGGAGAAACTTATGGCTGAATCACAAGTTCTAACTGCTTCAGCCAACTGCAATGCCACCCTCAACCTCAAAGTCCTCTTTCAGAAGACATGACTTCCATTATCCTAAATGGCCACAGTCAACACAGAGGGTACTTCTGAGCTATTCAGATTATGACAGAATACCAGTGATTCTTGTGCCAACCGTACCTTATTTTCCAGTCTCTTTGGTAAAAACAAAACGGTCCCATCGAAAGCGTGTGTCCTGCCAATTAACTCCTCATGTTGGAACAGCAAGGCTGCACGAAGACGCCGGGCTTCCATCTGTGGGTTGTAGTCAATGTGGTACTGGTACAAAGCCCATTGTGGGCGAGAAGTCAGCCGAAAGTGGTTGGCATTTAATTTTATTAAACTCCCCGACAGACCTGTGGAAAGGTATCCATCATTGTCAGCCATTTCTTAACAAGATGAAGCATTTTCGACAGCTCTACCGTCAACCGGTAACATTCCTCTGATCAACAAGAGCGCTAGCACCGTATTAACTGCATAAGTGCAGGCCTTTCCTCCATGTGTTCATGGAGGATGAACACATTGCTGGATGTTGCTACAACTGAAGGGATTGGAAGGATGTTTCATCCCAAATAAGGTGCCTCAAGAATGACAGAAAAGGCATGCAAGAGAAACACTTGAAGCTTCCTTAAGAATCACATCCAGTACCTGTTTTGGATTCTCTAACATGTTCCATTAACTGACGGGTGTTTACGCCAAGGTCATGGTAGTCCCTGCGGTGTCCACCTCTTTCTCCCAAAGTCATTTCTTTAAAGCCTGCTGAAATCTGAAGTTCTGTAGAGGAGAAAAATCAGTCATAACCTGCATTTGTTCATAACTGACGATGGGGGTGGAGTACCCGGAGCTCTTCAGATGTCCCTGAAGTCTATCAGCCGAGTGGGCTGCAGATACTGAGCGCTGTTGCTGAAGATGATCTCAAGTTGCCCACTGGGGATCCCATGGAAGCAAGACGCCCTCCTCAACCCGATTACAAGACTTGCCTCTGAGCAACCAAGAGAGGAAGTACCATCTCAATTCCATGGTCAGTGAGGTCAGTTCCTCCCGCCTGTATTTATAGTAAAGCGTTAATGAGGGGATAAACAAATGATTTAGAAGACATACAATCACTGTGAGGAAATGAACGAGGGTGCTTGCTTTTTAATTTATGCTAAGACTGCAGTATGAAAGTATGCATCACCCAGTGCCCCAGCGTTCAACCCAGGTAAAGACAGCAGAGAAGAGATACAGAAGAACCACCAGAGTGTTTCTCCTTCAGAAATGCACGTTCAACAAAGGCTTGACTCCAGTAACATGGCTGTGATAGCTGCATTTTAGTCCCCAGTCCTACCTTGTGGTCTCGGGGCAAGGGGTCCCCTTTTTTGTCGGCCACGCCCAACCTGATCCCCGGGTGATGGCTCTGCTTCAGGCAGCGGGGGCTTCATTTGGCCATAGCCAGACAGCGGAACCTAGAGGACGTGATGCTGGTTTAAAAGGGGCTGCTCAGTGCTTAAAAGACAAGTCACATTATTGCAAACATCACAGACCGAAGAGGAAACGTGCGACCCTCAGGAACCAGAACTACAATTCTCATTGTCCATCTCCGCTGGCCAGGCTAGCTGGGGCTTCTGGGGAATGTAGTTCAGCGATTGGAGGAGCACCGGTAGAGAAGAAAATCATAAGGCTTGCTCTTTTCATTTTTATTAAAACTTTTAAAAGAGAAGAGAAAAACACACACAAACGAATAGAAAGTAAGGAAGAAGAGAAAAAAAGAAAGCAAAGTGAAAGAGAGAAGTGCAAGAAAAGAAAAAAAGTTGAGATATTCTTCACAAGTACAATTATATTTTAATCTCTCTCTCTCAAGTGACATCATGACACTCTTCTTTCCATAATCTATCCCGTCTAATCCTCAAAGCCATAAATCACAAGCTCATTCCCCCCGCCCCATTTTTACGCAACAAGTCCGTAAGAGGTTCCCAGCCATTAATAAACGTAGATAGCGTCTTTCCTCTAATCAAAGAAGTTAATTCACCCATCTCAGCAAGATCTCTCAATTTCACCAACCGTTCCTCCATAGTGGGCAGAGTCAAATCTTTCCATCTCTGTGCGTATAACACGGCTTACTTTCTTATAATAAGCCCCACGATTTAATTTGACCTGAAGAGATGCCACAGAGCACAACACAAACAGGAAGAGCCCTTGGACTGAGTCACAGTTGTCCTATAGAGACGGCCGGACCGTCCTCTGATGGATGTGCTCCAACTGAGGATGGATGGCCACCAGTCAATGATACTTTAATCTGGATTCCTACCCTAACTGGACTCCATAACTTAATGCTCCTTTCCCACTCTACCCTCTTATGGCCCCAAATGTCCAACAGACACCCTAACCTCCCCTGAAACAAACCCACATCTGTTCTGCCTGTTGCTCTTCCTCCAACCATCCACTCTGAATCAGCCAAGCCACGCAGTCTATGGCTTTTCTCTGGAGCTACGATGACCCTCGCTGGCCCATCCGATGCAAACTTGAAGGAAGCAGATGGGCATTTCCATGAAGGGGAGCCCCCTGGCCCTGATCCCGATGCTTACGATGAGAAAGACGCACAATCGGAGATTCACTTCCGTGCCACATACGTAGGGGGATGCTCTCTCTTTAAGGAGGTGACCTCTGAGTTGCTAAATGTGCAATTAAGAGACTTCGCTCCCTTCCCACCTAGGCCCAAATTATTTATTTAAATATTTATTTACATTTATTGGCCACCCGACTCCAGCGGACTCTTTTTGAAGTTTGAAAGCCCTGCGTTGACTCTGCAATTTTCATCAAACCACTCATGGACACGCAGATTGTTAAAAATAATCAACGTCCAAGGAGAAAGTTTTTAAACTTACAGGAGTTGCTCCCACTGTAGGAACGGTCGTCTCCTGACCCCGGGCTCGCCCCCTCGCTCGAGCTCTTGCTCTCCCAGACATCGTCTCGCCGAGAACAAGCTGTAATTGAAGACGCAGCCGATATGTATTTTCCTTCCTTCGCATTTCCAGAGATAAGAAATACAGCAGGCTTTAAATTAAACCCATTTCCAATCCGTCTTTTCTGGCAATTAGATCAACGCTCCGGGGGGGGGATCTTTCCACCTGTTTCAAAAATGCTTGGATGACCTTGAAGACGAAGACTGAACTACCCACTGTCCCTGTTGGCACGGAAGGGTAAGCCAGCATTTGAAGCACATCCTGGCTTACGGTTCCCATATGGAGACTGCAAACCCCAACCGACCCACAGGACTTCAAAACTGACCCTGCGAGAAGTAGGATCTTTGCAAGCTAAAATTTCAAGGTGGGTTTTTTAAAGCTGCCACCTCTCGGAGGGAGCCCATTCCTCAAACCAGATTTAACCTACGGCATTTAGGAGTGAGAAGATCCGGGGACATAAATCCAGACACCCATAAAGGGCAGCAAATAAATACTCCCATTTAATGGTGATCTGGAGTTTGGCATTCCCGGTGACGGCAATTTTAGTATGGATTACACACAAACCCACAAGAATGAAATTCTGGAGCACAGCCTCCTCCAACATTTTTCCTTGCTTTGGACTACAATTCCCCTCATCCCCAGCAACTAGGACAGCTCAGGCACAGATGGGCTACACCCTGTTTTTTTTTTAAAAAGTGCTTTTCCTTCGTCTTATTACACACCTCTTGTTTAAGTCTTTGTCACCCTTCTTTTCTTACTATCTTGGTAAGGAGAAAGACCTCTCTTTACAAAGTATTTATATTGCATTTAAAGCATAAACAGGCACATTCTTCTCTGCACTGTCCCAGGTAAACCAAACATTTTCCAAAAGGAAACATGCACAAATAATAAACGGTATTAACCCCACCCAAAGCAGAACAAAAGCAACTGTTAGTAGTCATGGATCAGTGGGAATAACTACTACTAGTAACTTATAGCATTACTCCCCGTAATTCATAATCTGTGCTTTTTTTTTTTAGCTTTTCTCACCTCTATTTTATACACAAAAGCTGCTATACGTACATCATTGAAGACAATACCATGAACCTAGTTCGATACATTTAACTCGCTCATTAATGAAACGCTGGACCTATCAATTATTTAATGAACGAATGGATTTTATATTTTAGGATCGCTGTAAATGCTTTGCTCATTTACTAATCGTTTGTTCTTTTTCCACTTTTTTCCCCCTCTTATGCAGCAAAGAGGAACGTCATCTTGAAAGCCATCTTAATAAAGATAATAATCACTTTATTAATCACTTAATGATATCTTTATTAAACGCCCTCTGCATAAAGATAATAATAATTTGCAAGAGTGGTTTCCCCCCCCCCACTTTTTCTCCTCTCCATTTTATACATACAATTTCTACTACTTTTGTAGCAGATTGTATAGACACACCATTTCTACTACTTCTTCCTTTTTAAATGTTCAGTCCAACTCACTTTAGGGTATTTTATGGGAAGCCGTCTAGAGACGTTTTAAAATACAATACATCGGAACTCAGAGCAATGCTATTTCATTAACAAGAGGAATTAATGGACAGAAACCTTTAGCAATTATTAGCAGATAATTAGTACTGTTAATAACAATAAACAACAACAAGAAGTGATGGTTCTTAGCCGCAACAGAAGGAATAACAAGAGCAACACTGTAGCAGACTTAACAAAATTAAATTAAATTAAAGCAAGCACTGACCAAAGAAAGCTCTATCAAAAAAAATTACAAAAAAAAAAATAATAATTTGCAAGTTTACGTCCCTCCAACGAGATACGCCTTATTCTATTCTACCCGCTCCCGCATCAGAGCGAAGCGGAGGAGCGAGGCGCTCTGCACGTGCTCAGAGGCTCACCGCAAAAGGAAGGCGCCGCCTCTCACTGCGCAGGCGCTCCGGCGGGAGAGGTTAAAGCGCGCCCCGCCCACCTCCCCGGCCTCGCGCCGCGAGCGCCCGCGTCCTAACGGCCCTGGGAGGCCGCCTCACCGGAAGGGATCGCTCCGCGCCCCGTACCACGTGATACGGCTTAGTTTCTAGGACGGTCGCCCCCGCCGCCGCCGCCTTTTGGAGAAAGGCTCCTTTGCTCGGAATTCGACGGCGCCGCCGGCCCCTGAAGCCAAAGCGCGTCTCGGAGCGGAGATATCAGGACTACTTTCTCTCCCCATGGTCTCCGCCTTCCCGCTCTCGGAGGAAGACGGCGAGAAGTTCTCCTCGTGCTCTTCGCTCCAAAGCGCGCGCTGGGCTCCGATTGGCGGAGCGGCGTCTCGTGTCCCCCGCCCCTTTTCCGGACTCGCCCGAAGAATCCCGAAGCGCCTGACACTCGAAAGACAAGCTAGAGAATCCACGCCCCTTACCCGAAGACGCCCGGAAACTCCCGAAGGCTGCCGAGCCGAAGGTAAGAAAGCTTTTGGGTGCAAAGGGGTTTTGTGGGGCTGTAGGGTGGCCCGGGATAAAATGCAAATTTAAAATCGCGTTTCGATGAAACAACTCTTAGGAGTTGCAGGGAATAAATTAATGGCGTCGCCTTGCTTTGGTTGTTGTGAGACGTCCCCAGAGTGGAGAGCTCGCTTTAATGAGTTCCTATTATTACTCCGGACAAACTATCGTTAATTTAAATAAATCAGCCTCCATTGCAATAAATAATGATTATTGCCCGAATAAATTAGCACTAATTGCAATAAATTAGGATTATGGCCCAATAAAATTATCTCTAATTACAATAAATTAGGATTACGGCCCAATAAAATTAGCCCTAATTGCAATAAATTAGGATTACGGCCCAATAAAATTAGCCCTAATTGCAATAAATTATTTGCCCGAATTCATAAGCACGAATTGCAAGAAATTAGGATTATTTGCCCAAATGAATTAGCGTGAATTGCAAGAAATTAGGATTGCTGCAGTAGATTAGCATTGAACATAATGCATTAGGTTTACCCCAATAAATTAACATCAGTCGTAATCAATCATGTTCATTGGGCTGAATAGGTTTGCATTGATCTTAATGATTTATTACTGCCATAGTATAAATGTCAGGTGCTTTAGAAATTGTATGCAGTCTTGCAAACAGTATGTGGTTCGTTAATCCATGCCGTTGGTTTGGGGGCATCCAGAGTTGCGTTTTGGATCTGTTTTCCTGAAACCCCATAGAACAGGGTTCCTCTACCGCAGCAACTTTAAGATGGGTGGACTTCAACTCCCAGAATTCCCCA